TTGTGACTGGCCTTGTGAAGGGAACTTGTGACTGGCCTTGTGAAGGGACTTGTGACTGGCCTTGTGAAGGACCTTGTGACTGGATTGTGATGGACCCAACTGCAACACTACTAAGTAATTTGTACAGTTGGTAACAAGTACTTCATTCCATAATTTAAAGGCTGTTTCCTGACATCGGAGGTCAGGTACTCAGGTACTATGTTCAAATCCACAGCTTTATTTCACAGAAGACCCTAAGTTACATGATTTAAACATTTTTCAAGAAGCATCACTCTTCTCACCAGCAAACTGTACTCCTCGGCGTATGCTAGGGCGCTGCTACACTCCCGACACTTCCTAAGTACATTGGATATGCCTTCCATGTTGCAGCAGACAGTGTGACAATCATGGGCACGGATGATGAGCTCAACCTCCATAGTGAACACTGTGAGGAGAAGGGAACATCAAAATAGGACGTTGGAAAGGATTTCTGGAACCGGGGGTGGGGAGGGGGTTGCTGGTGAGCAGAAATACTGCTCAGCAGATTTATATGCTAAGCAAAATTTCCAGAGCCCTGGTCAAAGGCAGAGTGCATAGTGGGGCTTTTTGGCTGGTGACCCATTTCTGCTAGGCTGTTTTTTTTCTGCACTTAGCAACTTTCCATCCTTCGCAGTTCTAAAACCAACTCAGTGCCTGAATGCCCAGAGTGTAGTCAAGCCATGTTCTCATTGGAGAACCTGTAGGTTTTATATCAACTCAGAGTCTCAAGATATTTCCCTACGAAGGAACCTTTCCCAATCCTCTAAGTCCTCACTGTGCAGGAGCCCGATGGCACATGTTTTGTACTCCAACTTATAAGGACAAACTCCTAATGGAAAGTAATAGCGTGCTGCCTCTACCTTCCTCAATCCTACAAAATCTTCTGAAACCTATTGATGAATTTCAAAAGATTTTGAAGGCTAGATTTGTAAGGTGCTAGAGATGGGAATGTGAACTCTGTCCTATTCAGGCAAAGTTAGGCCTCTAACAGAGAGTTAAAAAAATTGTGGAAAATTACGTTTAAAGAGGATTATCTTTCACCCATTTGAGATTTACAAAGAAACAGTTGGAGCTGAAGTTATGGAAATGGTAACAACATGATTTTGATTGGCACAGTTTCGGATGCACATTGTCTGTAGCTGGCTCTCCGCTGTTTTGCTTATCCTATCGTCATGTTTTGCTTATCCTATAAACAGCTTAATGTCCACCCTGCAGCCTGATGTAAATTAGCAATAGATGGACCCAAATCTAAGTCAAGATTTAGCACTGACAAGCTTCAGCCTCCGCCAACGTCCCACTGACCTGACTTGGTGTTGGCATCGTCCAAGCTGACCAATGAGGTGGCTTCCTGCAGCAGCCGGTTGCCCAAGATGGCCGGGTTGCGACAGAGCTGGATGGCCTGGCCAAATTCTTCCCGCTCCCCGATCTCCTGGCCAACGTAGGAGCTCAGGGACGCTGAGGAGAGGCGAGAGGATAGAGTGCCTGAAGATCAGAAAAATCAAATCAATAAAAAGATTGAAGTAGGGTACTGAAGAGGTACGTCACAAGTAGTTGTCACTGGTCATGACTAGTACTGTCAGATGAATAGCAACAGTTGATGAAGATGCCCCACTATTGCAGTGGTCTTACAGATTTCAACAGCAGGAATACAGCCTGACCAACATCAAGTACACTGTAATCATTGATGCTTGATGAAATGCACCAAATGCATTGTTGCCTGGTTAATTCTCTCCTTGTCTTCGACTCCTTATTAAGAAACAGGAGAGTGTAAGACCCTCTTTCTAGAATGCCAATCTTCAGAATAAATCATTGGTGCCTTTCATTGATCAACAGGCGTACTTTCGCTACTGGCAGTGGGTGAACATTGGCAGAGGAATGCATTTGTTTCAGTTCATGTGTGAGTGGCTTCTGGTTCCCGCTAAATTATACAAACTTGCGATAGCACCAAGGGTATGATATTTCTTTCGGAAAACGTGTAGTTCTGAAAAGAACTGGATGGTACTCGACATATCAGACAGTGTGCTCTGTCCATCGTCTGGAGACTACAGAGGTTCCAATGATGAAGCTGCTTATTGTGTCTGGAGGCGGTGAGGTGTGGGGCACTTATCCTGAGTTAACATCGTCTCCACACAATACAAACCTCTATAACACCCATTTCAGACAGGGGTTCTAGCGTTGCACCGAACCACATAGAATTAAGAGCGACTTGGGTCAGCCCAATTAAATTTTGGTTTCAGACAGACGAACTTAATACATACATTTGCAATGGGTTCAGCTCATGAAAAAAGCAACGTCTGAAACCAAGTCGCTCTGCTGTCATTCCGAATGCCTTCAAATGTCCATCTTTCGCCTGCGTTGCTCCTAATTGTTTCAAACGTCGAATTTATGCCGTACTCAATTCAAAATTTACTTTTAATCTAGTTCGGCGCAATTCTAGAACACCTGTCTGAAAAGGCTGTTACTTGCTACGTTCACCATGAAGAGCTTCAAAGCTGACTAGGATACTTTGTGATTACTTGTGAAGCCACTGTACAAGTACAGTAGAACACCAGAATGGTGATTTACTGTAGTTATGAAAGAAGGGATTTACATGCAAACAGATATAATCTGCCTTGAGGATGGGTCACAGTTGTCTTGCTGTCTCTTGTGCATTTATATCATGAAAGCTAACAGATCTGAATCCAAAGGTTCCAGAATACAGGCAGATGCAACAGAACCTGTGTTGCTTATTGAAAAGGAATCCGCCTTGAGCAGAAGCACCCCCTCATCAGTTGAAAAGAGCCATGTTGGTCAGGCATTTCATAGTTGTTTGTGAACCAGCAAAGGACAGTCCCCACCAAAGGACCTGCCCTTGCTAGGAAAATTGCGCCCTCTATTGGTCTGGCTCAGGGCTCATACCACGAGTTTGCCATGACCATAACATAAGTTATCTGCCAAAAGATGCCACCAAGGGCAAGGGGACCGGTGTAAGAGCTGTAGAGCCACTAACTTACCCTCTCTCCTTCGAGGTGGCGGTTGGCGGGTCTTCAGGCTTGTGATAACAGCCTCACAGAGAAAGCCAGCAACCTGTCAGTAATTGGGAAAATGTGAGGCCTTCAAAAACCAGCAAAAAAATCCAGTCCGACACGCTTTTTGATCACGCTTTCAAGGGCGAGTTCTAAATCACATTTTCTGGGGCCAGTGTAATTTTTTTGAGGAGAGAAAGGGGAATAAAAGTTTGACAATTTCTTTATGACAATCTTTATGTTTTCTGAGAAACAAGGCTAAATTTTGGAGCGATTTGCATACTTGGGGGCACAAAAAGGTGTCATTCCTTCTTTTAAAGGATAAAACATCTAAAAACTCCCACTTGGGAGGCATGGCTCAGTTTTCCCCTACCCCCCGTTACTTCAGGTTAGTGAAGCATTTCCCTGATCAAAGATTTTCTCTGATCAGCAACACCGGGCGCTAACAAAGGTCCAACAACAACTGCCCAGAGGTCAGAGTCCACATACCACAGCAATGGCAATGCTTCAACTTGCCTGTTCATCAGTCATCTCATTGGCCAGGATAAAGGTCTTGGCCAGGGCAAATCTCTGTGGGTGACTGCATCGCAGTATGGATTTCAGGCTATCAAATGGTGCCTGGACGACCACAGACCCATAGGTGCTACCTAAGACCTGCGGCCAAACATAAAGTCAGATTGGAGTAAAGAGTTCTTACCATGGACTCAATGCCAAATAAGAACCGAAACTCTAAGAACAAATCATGAAAGAATGCAACCCATTGGAGAACACTCTCATAATTTCCTTTACCTTTGATAAGGCATCTTTAAATAATTACAATGAACACAAGTGCAAAATGTTTTCATGATTGTATAAATATCAGAAATTTTCTGCATATTGAATGCAGAATGAGGATAACTGCACTTCTTCCAGATTTCTGGAACAAAACTCAAAAACACAATTTTCTTATTATTTGTTTGGTACGGAAAAAAATTCTGATTAAATTCCTTCAAAAGAAAATTTTCTGTGATTTAAAAATAAATACATTCTCTTTATGGAGACAGACATGATAAGACAAACAAATGACATTATTATAACTATCTACGACTCTTTAATATTCAAACTTCTATTGGAACACATAACAATGATAATGTCTCCATGGTCAACCCTACCTGGGCTATCCTGTAGGCATTGATGATCTTGTCACAACACTGCCTAGCCTGGGCTGAGCAGCTGGCACACAAGGCTTCAATGGTTAGTAGTGCATCATCCACTTCCTCTGGGTCTTCGGTGGGGTCCAGGCTAGCCATGCTGCTGACACTTACAGCTGCAAGACACAATAATACAAAGAATGTATGATTGATTTATGATATCGATGTTCCAGGCTTGAGGATAAACTAAGTTATTATAAAAAAAAGAAGGAAGGGTTTAGGGTAACTGCAAAGCATTTTGTAGATGTACCTGGCAAAGATATGATCCCAAAATATTCCTGTATTAAATAGTCCACATGGTATCCACTTTTACAAGGACAGTGACGAACTGGTAGGTAATACTTGAAGGTCTGCACAGTGGAGGAAGCAGTACGGTAAGTTTGCCACTGCACTGAGTAACATATCCCTTTCTGTGAGTTGGCGACTCCCTGAAAAGGCCAAGGGAACTCTGCATTTTGGGCCATACATTCCTGTCTGTGGTAAGGAGACTGAGCGATTCCAACTATGGAGGATGGTTAAGTATGAGAATTCAAAGCAAATGAAGGACCACAAACATAAAGAAGGAGCGCTCTGCTGGGAGAGTGCCAATGTGGCAGGTTGGCAGCCCAGAGGCTAAAATCCTCCTTTTATCAGTAGGTTCATACAAATGTTTAGGAGGATATTCATAAGTTGCTACTCATAGAAAAGCACCCTATTATTATTTAGTTATTTAGCCATTCTTACAGCATGACCAAGGATGGCAAGGAGCAGCAGTATATGAACTTTATCAGCATATGTCCATACAGGAGTGTCATCTACAATTAAGACTTTCAGTGGTAAAACTGGGTATTCCACGTTCAGTTTGGTCAGACCGTCAAGACACTCACTGCTGGCAGATCTTGTCAGCATGCCTCTGGACATCATCCCCCTCCAGGCATCACTGGTCTTCCGTGTCCTGCCTCTCCCAATACCACTAGGCATGCCAGTTCTAGACCCCAAAGCTGATCCCGCAGCTGCCACTGACGATCCCGCTGCTGCCACTACCAACCGCCTCATCTCAGATTCCAGGTGGCCGGGTGCCGTGTGGCCCGAGGCCAACCGGATGCTGGTCAGAACCACTGCCAGATCCTGGTGAGGGTGGTTGAACTGACCGGCCAGGCGGTGGGCCTGCCGGATACAACACTTGTCCAGGAGCTGACCAAGAATCCGATTCAAGGCTTGGACCTCCTGCAGTGTGCAATATGTCAATATTCATGGATGTGCACAGTAACTAACAAAATCCGAAATTCAAAGGTGCCGGTATATTATCAGTATCCCTGCACATTGGGCTTACAATATCTGAACATTCCTGAAACTATCTCATCTCCCTCGGGAGAATAGGGCTCTGTACTGCCATTCCAGGCACAAACAACTAAAAACATAATAACCATCTCTGCTATCACAGGAACCCACTTAATCCTGACTGCAGACAGCAAGCGAAGGTAAAGTGAACTGTCCAAGGTTGTAACACGTAACCAGCTGCCAGATTTGAACTCCCTATCCAATGATCCGGTGTTATAAACCACTAGGCTACAAGCCCTGTGATGTTAAAAGAAAATCCTTTTTCCACAACTTAACTTGGTCTCCAGCCTCATCTCAGACTCTTCAATTACCCCTGAACCCTGTTCTGATGACATCACACTTTGTTTATGTGTGCTTCCCTATGGTGCATCAGTGGACCATGGGCCCCTACTGGTTCCATAGCAATGTGAACATGTAAACAAAGTGAGCCATCACCAGTACACAAGCCTACCAAACTGATCACAAGGCAAGTCTCTATCCACAACAAACCTTCTCACCTTTTCGTCTTTTAGGATAGGAGGGGCGTACGCATCCACCTTGATCTCCGCAATGTACATCAACTCCTCTGACAACTGACACTTGAAGCCCCTCTCGTCGAACCATTCTGTATGGTCTGAGCTGAAGGCCCCCTCTAGCAATGACGGTGCAACAGGGGTAGCGTCCATCTAAATGTTGAAAAAAAAAAGAAGTGGTCAATTGAAGTTCTGTTGTTAGGTGTCATGCTTTGTGTGTTTTAATGTCCCCAAAAGATGCACAAATGTACAAATTATTCACTCACAGTTTTATTTCAATATGTCTATATTTCAAAGTTTAAGTGGCTCAAAACCATTTTATTAAACATAAAATTCTTATTAATTATTAATAAAAATTTGTGTCGTATTTAAATGGTACACTATACAAGAGAAACAGATTACAAGCCGAACTTTTCCACGATTTATGAGGCAGGTGATACTGAAATCCAAGCAAATATTCATGTGTACATTTCATGCATACCTTCTCAACCTCAGCTGTTAGTCTCCACTTCCAGGCTTCCTGCTGCAACATCTCAAGGTCGGCCTTGTGCTCAGGGGACTTGGTAGTCTCCTTCACCAGCCACCGGTGAGCCAGACTCAGCAGGCTGGCCTTCTCCCTGACTGACAGGTCTCTCTGTTCCTTCACTAGGCTCTATACACATACAATAACAAGCTTCAGATGCTAGCACTCAGTTTTCAGAAATTCATTACCAGTATAAAGGCTTCAAGTCCTCGTATGCTGCCTTTATTTCCAAATTTATTTTGGCCTCATTTCACAGATCGACTAACCTAGAAATTCCAGGCTTAAGATCCATATTCTGCACTTAAAGAACAACCAAAGAATTTTTGCTCTAAGTAAGCAGAGTATCAGGATTTATGCTGCATGCATGTAACCCAATTTCCTACTAATCCTTGAAATACAGTAATGCAGGCCACGCTATTTCTGTGTTCCTGTCTCAGTCGGTAAGCAATGTTTGCTTACATAAAACTGCGTGCTTTGCTGCATCCTGATATTCCGTCCAAGCCAAATTTCATTGAGCTTACTACACAGGAAATACAAGTTAGCACCTTTCTGTGATGAGCAGAAATCAGTGGTGAACAGTCAAACGAGGTACACACCGTATGATAATTTTGCTGGTAAGCTGTCTCTGCTAAGCAAATAATGTTGTGTACTTAGCACCTTACTGTGATGAGCAGAAATCAGTAGTGGAAAGTCAAAAGAGGCACACCCTGTATGACAATTTCACTGGTAAGCTGTTTTTGCTAAGCAAATAATGTTGGGTACTTAGCACATTTCTGTGCCTCACCTGGAAGAACTTTGATGCAGCCCTGCCAGACACATGGTTGGCTTTGAAGGAATTGTGGCAGGTTTTCCAGAAGATCATGCGGCCGGCCTCCGCATACCACACCTGGGACTTCTGGAGGCCGGCAAGACTACAATGCAGCTGGATACATTCAAGGAGGAAAGCCAGGACAGACAACAGGTTAAATATTTGTGACCAGTTAGTAATAAACAACTCCAAGGTTAAAGGGGCAAGGGGTCAAGGTCAAGGGGTCAAGGCCTATGAGGCAAAGACTCAAAGGTCAAAGGTTATGTCTGAACTGCAGCCTAGACATAACCAATATTATAATAGCCAAGTTTGGACCACATGGACATCAATGTAATTATTGCTGCCATCACTTTGGACTCAGTAACAGACTAGACAACCATGCTGGAACTAAAAGAGAAAACACTAATGCAAGTATAACAATGTATGTATTCAATCATGTTGCAATAAGCAGGAGAAGAAAATTTCTTAGCAGAAAAGACTTTGCAGTGAAAGTTAGTAAAAGAAAAAGCCTAAATAATGCCAGGAGTGAGATTGGGGGATGAAGGGAAATCCATAACATCCAGCCAAGGAGTTGTACAGAAGACAATAAAACATTGCAACTTTTTCCGGGTTCTTTACAGCTAACAAGACGCGGGTTCTTTCACAAACGGCCATGATCTTTCTTTACCTGAATGGTTAAGCCTCAGAATGTGTGGGTTACAAAAATCCTAAGCTCTGTGGAAACATCTGGAGAAATCACACCCAGGAGTTCAAATCCCTAGTTAACCACATGCAGCCAGGTGCTTTTTAAACTGCAGTGCACACATACGGGCGATTTTCAAGATTTTCAATTTTCAAAATTCATCCTTTCATTTAATAGACGTTTACACCCACACGAATGATTCTTTGGTGTCTAGTCTAAGCTGACAGGTAACCTTCATTGACTCTTGAATATTTCAGCCAGGCCTGCCGCCCTGTAAAGAGAGCCCAGGATTTTTAGGTGTTGCGTAATTTTCCTAAGTCCCCAGTGAATGCGAGTAGCGTTTTTTCAAACAGGGCTGGATTAGCATGTAGCAGTGCTGTGTCACTCATCAGTGGGGCCCTCGAGCACTTTAGTCCGCGGTGCTAATCCGCGGGCGCACTATGCCCAAACCACTATACTGCTTACTGTATACTGTTTGAAAACAGTGACGGATTACCTTCGAAAAGTGCAAGCCGAAAAATGATGGCAATTCCCAGCAGCAGGTCTTTTGTTCCGAGTACAGTCTTTTGTTACACGGACCAGCTCTTTTGTCCCATTTCGGGCACCCCGGCTCTGCGTATAAACCCATGGTGCTTCCCCGGCAGCAAGTGGTTAAACTATCAACAATGTTAACTACAATACCTGTTCTACTATAACTTGATCGACCGGCAGGCCGGCAACGGTGGCAAACTCCTTGGCCTTCTGAAACAACTGGGCCTCCTTCAAGCACTCCAATACCCTGTGGCATTCGTCCATGTACTCGGTCCCTTCCAACAGACAGGTGATGCGGGTGTGTATTGGGGTGTCCGTCAGGGCTTGCGTCAGCTTGTAGAGCTTGTTGTAATCTGGCACTGTGAAAGAAAAAAAGGGCTTCCAGTTTGGTAACAAATCAAGATTGAAAATTGTGTACAAATGGAGGACAATCTTTTTTAGTGTCTGGTAGAAGGAAACTGAGGTGAAGTTGGGGGCCAAGCAGATTAAGTCTCATATTGCTTACACTGCCTGTTTTTGCAAGAGCTTTTGTTTGATATAGGCATTGATTTCACGCGTGACAAGTTCTAACAAAGTGAGTCTCAAGGCCTTTTTTAGTTTTAGTTTGCATAAGAAAGAGCAAACTGATGTCTTTATTTTGATGTACCACTTGGTTTGGCATCCTGACTGGAACTTGGCATTGTGTGGGTACGACATATCCAGAGTTCCTTGTGATTTCTATAGAGCAAGATTCTTTTAAAGGCCTCTAGCTCAAAAGGGATTCTGGTGACTTTTAACCCTTTCTGTTGTGTTGGGTAACGTCCATGAAATGAATGTGAATGTGAAAACCGGAGGCCTCTACATGCAAATTCCTGAATAAAAATCTGAATAGATGAGCAGTGGGCAAAGTCATGACAAGCAGCCGACGATGAGGAGGCTTGACTTTTGACACTTTTCCACCCAACTACACCAAATGCTCCAAAATCCTTCCAAATCCACCAGGAGGTTGTGGAAGATTTCTAGGTTTGAGAGAGGCAGAGCCCAGCTGCTGACTCTTCACATAGGTTTCAGTGTCCCTTGGAATATTTCAGTGCAAAAACTGTGCCGTTGCTTTCCAGCACTGTTGAAGCTTTTGGAAGACCCTCATCAGGGCACCGAAGCAAGAAAATGCCCAGCAAGTTGGAGTTGATAAAGACAATGTTGGAAAACTAACATTATAACCACTTGTATTTGTCCCTAACAAGTGGAACTGACCTTCTCTGGATACAATCCTTGAGAAATTGGTGTGAGCCAAGACGTCAAGCAGACGGCAAGTACTCCAGTAGGTGGTGCAGGCAGACACCATGGAGTGGACCACAGAGCTGGCTGTGTCTTCATACCACTGCAAGTTGCCAATCTTGACAGCTGCCATGGGCTTTGGAGTTTGGCCCACCAATCCCTTGATGCTTTTCCTACGACACTAATTTTTCAGATCAAGAAAACAAAAACTAAATTTGCAACTTTCCTGCAACACATCTAGTGACAATACAATAACTGTTTCATGCATTTACTCAGTCATTCCAAAGTAATCCGTTTCTCAACAAACAGGAGAATATTCCCTGAAACAGTCAACAACCTACAGGACAGAGGCTTCCACAGACCGTTTCCAACATAATTCCATGAAGTTTATTTCACTATCACTTCCAACAATCACTCACCTTCAAGATGGATGTATGGAAGTCTTGGAGGCACGTCTTTGCCTGCGATGTGTCACATTTGACCAGCATCGCTTCGCAGAAATTCAGGAAAGGATTCAATGTGCAGTCCTGAAGCACCAAAAACAAAATCACAGGAGGGTTCCTCCAAACATTCTTCGAGTACAAGAGCTACTCCAGGCAACACAGAAACATAGGTAATAAGTTCTAGTTCATGTCTAAGGATGTAATGAACAGCTGACTATCCTCTGTGTTGAAATGATGTAATTTTGATCAATCATTTTAAACAAGAATTATTTCCACAACAGATTGACCAATGTTCTAATATTAAATTGGAAATCCTTTCAAATTCTTGAACAAATGATTATTCCCAGTCTAATTTGGAAGTGGCTTATTTTGTAACTTTATGAATGGCCTCGGATCAAAACATATGATGTGCTCTTTCCATCATTTTTAGAAAAGTGATCGCAATAAAGAACTTGATCTATAGCAAGAAAATTTGAGCCACTTCAAATCCAAACTGTTGCTGCAAAGTCACTGGCCTTAACTTGTAAAATTAGAGGTATAACCAAATCAAGTCGCAACACAAATTCTTTAATTTTCTGATATATCATTGTTGCTTTGATAAACCGTAAAGCCTACCCTATCAAATATGTAGAATCCCTTGGCAAGCAGAGTCACCAGGTCAGTTGCCATGGCAACCTCAACAATGGCCGCCAGCTCTTCCAGACTCCAGCTGTGCCACTGGACAGATGCCATGGACTCGGTGACCTTTGCTACTGAGGTCGGGTCATCCATCGAGGTCAACAACCAGGTGCAGAGACAGTCTAAGGTCACACAATCCTGTCGGGAACAAGACCCAAATATTACCATCCAAAAGACAAGTTACCTGTCTGGGAAACTTTTGGGGTGGAACTGAGGCACCAGTGCAAAAGATCTGTGGGAGGGGGGGAAACTGCCATATTTGACCTGTGTGAGTTCTGCAACGACCTCAGAGCTGAAAATGTTGTTTTTGCAACGCCCTAAAACACACCTCATCAAATCATATCTAAATTTCTGGACGGCATTATCAAGTGACATAATTTTGCAAATTTCTAGATCAAGACTAATCATTTTTGATATGACTTTTTCCATTCTAGACCCTCCCTCTCGCCGTACCTTATAGCAGGCAGCAATGACAGCAAGTACAGGTTCTTGGAGGGCCACGGCATGAGCAAGCAATGACTTCCAGGGGACTGGCGCAACATTACATTCAAACAGGACACCAAACAAATCCTTGGGAACTCTGTTGATGTCGAGCTCTGGGGGAAAAAAAAGACAGAAAAAAGAAATTAGCAATTATTCCAAAGCATACCTGTTCTTATTTCTGTTTCTGCAACATGAGATTGTTAGGCGTGTTTATTAGATTTCCACAGAGTGTTTTTGTTATGCTTCATTGTCCCCTTATAGATCCTTGTTAATCTCTTAAACATATTAACCAAATTTAAAGTGAAAAAGTGACATTTTTAATTTTTCTTGTGCATAAACCTGACAGAGTGACGTTAACCGAAATAAAGAGAGTTGTTTTTAAAATGAAGGTCTGTTTAACCACTTCCTGCTGGGGATTCCAGATCCGGACACGTATGCTTTATATGCTTGGCCGGGGTCTCTGAACTCAAAGGGAACAGGGCCTTGTAACAAAAGACCGTACTCGGAACAAAAGACCAGGCTGCTGGGCATTACCGACATTTTTTCACTCTCAAAAGTGGAGATAATCCAGCCTTATTTTGAAAGAGTATACCACGGTTTGGGGCATTTAGAGCGAGCGGATTACCACCAGGGACAAAAGCACTCCACCACCGCAGCGACAAGCCACACAGCACCGCTACATGCTAATCTGGCCCCTATTGAAAAGAGGTCAGCAGCACACTGAGCCAGGTTCGTGAACAAAAGAAAGTTATATAACACCACACAATCTAGGCTCTTTTTACAAGGCTGCAAGCCTGGCTGAAATACTCAGGCGTCAATAGATTTTGTCTGTCAGGCTAGAGTGAACACCAGACAGTCCTTCACGTGTTTGTAAGTGTCCAGTAAATGAAGATAGGAAAATTTAAAGAATTTTGAAAACAGAAAAAAATGATAAATATCCCGGCCCAGCAGGAAGTGGTTAATATACAAGAGGCTGGTTTGCTTCATACTTGTGATGTATGGAGAAGATCTGATTTACCTTGAGGTAGGACATTTTGTGGGGTGCTTTCATCTGTTGACACAGTATCCTCACTGCCGCATGTCGTGTCATCTTCAGAACTCATGTCAGTATCTATATTAAAGAAAAATATACGCGTCACTTTCCCTTGAAATCCCTTGAAAAAATTGAAAAATCTTTAGATTCAGACTTGGACTTCTGCAAAATTGAACTTGTTGACCAGATATGAACGCCACCTTCACCAACAAAATGAGGCTAGCAGAAATAAAACTGCAAGGAGAAGTTGAAGGGATTTTTTTTTCTCTGAAAACACAACCCATACAATTCCCTCTCTCTTACTTTTCTCCCATCTCTTTAGCAACTCCACAAATCCTTCACTGAATCAGGCTATTTCTCCATGACTTGTTCAGAAGAAAATATGCTAGACTTTGGCATCCTGCCTTCTAAGTTGATGTTCTTGCATGAGGACTATCTGCCAGAGCTGGCTGCCTAAATTCAGGCAAGAAGCAGGCATTTAAGGGGAAAGTTCAAGGCAGAACCCCGAGTCAAACCAAAGATTTGAATATTTCCCTTACAGTCTCACAAGACTTGGAGATGTAGCATGGTGGCTGGGGCAGAGGCCCCTCTTGCACTCCTCAGAAACGCTACACCCTCCAATCAATAGGTGGATAATGTTTTAAAGGTCAACCTTTGAGTCCAAGTAAAAAACAAACCACAGTCTTGTTCCTGACCACCGCATTCTTCCTGGCCAGCCTTCTGTTTTTTCAGGTATAGGTAAATTTATTTTAAACACATATTGACTTGTTAGATGTATCTATTTAATTAAAATACATAGTGTTAGATGTGTAAGTGAAAGTGTTGAAAGTGGGGTAAAAACCCTTTGAGACACAAAGAATTAGCAGAGAGTCAGGAATTTTTTTTCTAAAAAATCTACCCCTTGAGAAATGAACTACCTCCTCCCGTTTTCAAAATCCAGACAAGAAACATTTTATTACACAGCCTGTAGTCTAACACCTAAAAATCTTCATGGCGCCGTCACACTAAAGATGTACGCTAAAGCAAGGTATTACAACTGACTTACTGTGTCGCCTTAGGAATCCCACCCGTTGGTAGTAGTGGGCCTTGATGTCTCGGATGCGTGGGGTGGGCTGCGAGGCTGGCCGTCCGGCCCGACTGGGCTGGTCATCTTTAATGATGGCCGGCCCAAGATGGAGATTGCGGAAAGCATCCTGGAGATGCTCCTTGATGGTGGCACTGTGGAACTTGGACAGTAAGTCCAGAACCTGCGTGGAATCGTGACAATCTTCCAGATAATGTAACTTTGTGGAGAGAAAAGGTTGCTCTGTTCATTCTAATGACAAGAAGATCTATTCATGGTGCTCTTCACCATATGATTTTCTGCTGGCTAGAAACCTTTGTTCCCTCCCACTGTAAATTTCAGTACTAAAACAGAAATCAACTTCTAAGGGAAGGACTGGCTTGATATGGTAACAGAAGAAATATTCGAGATGTTGGAATGTCTGTGCTTTGGAGAGTTGACACCATTATATCAAATAGAGGTCTTAGCCCTTAACCACAATCCTCTTTATGCAAGGTCATCATATAACTGGTTGCTCCTTCCTAAAAAAAAATTTCACAGCCGGTCACAGTACCAGTCGCATAATAACAAAGTCACACATATATACATAAAGGCTTGAAATCAAAACAAAAAAATGCTTCCTGTATTTCAGAAGTATTTTCGATTACTATTTTTGATTTCTTCCATGCTAGAAAGTGCTGAATAAAATCTTGTGTTTCTTTTTCCATAGACCTAACATGGCATATTTTTTTCCCCTATTCAGAGGGAGGCTCCCACCTGTTGCTTGGGATATTGGTGTGCCTGCACAAAGCAGGTGAAGTGGAGCCACTGGTTGTCTGAAGCACACTGCTCTGGATAGACTGCACTAAGAGGCAGTTGGTGACGTCGGCAGAAGAGGATGACTATCGACCACTCCTCGGACGCCTCCCAGGATGACCTGATGAAGGAAAAACGAAGACAAGGGGAAAAATATAGAAGTCTTGACCGTAATTAAATATCAGCTTAGGCTCCAATGGGCGTTTCTCACACGCTGGGCAATTTTGTTCATCCCCACCTTAGTATGCACAGGGTGGCTTTGGTGGGGAATCCTCATCTCAAAACCACAAAGACAACCACACGATGTTTTCAAAATGTATTTTTGCGTTGGGGAGATGTTAATTA